GCATGCTTCAACAAAATAGAAACTACTACAAAGCAAAAATGCATGAAAATGATTATAAATTTTAGGATACAGTCCAAAAAATTTAAAACTAGCAATAATATCTCTGCAACAAAATTTTTTTACATATGATCATGAATTCTCGAAATATTTGTAATCCTAACAAAAATTAAATTCTAAATATGCAGAGTGGATTGCTCATCTTTAGTTCACTTTAGTGATTCGACATTGTCAACGTGTTTATAACAAAGCTGTTGATGCCATTGGTTATATGTACTCAATCTTGACTCTTGTCACTAACAAGATGCATGATTTTGCTATATTAAAGAATAAAAATCTTTATTCCCATACTTTTCGTTATATATTTCACTATAACAAGAACACTAAACCAAACAATAAATTTGAATTTTGAGGCACTAATAATTGGATTTTTCAAGGTTCTTCATTGTCTTCCCCAAACTTCACTTTGTGACTTTTTCATATGAGAATCACATAATGATGCACTAACTAGACACCTTAAACAAGAGAAGAAAATAGCATTATTTTATCATTATTTTATTGGCATTCAATAAAATGTTATGTCAATCTGTTATTTTTTTATGCCACACTTCTTGGTTAAAAAAAGTTAATAAACAACCTTCAAGTCCCCACACTCCCTTGACTGTTCTAAATGTTTCTTGGATTGATATGAGCATTATTCTTATAGGCTTATCTAAAATGCCACCTGTACATGATTCTATCTTTTTAATTGCTGGCTCTGTTTAAAATTGCGCAACGAGGCGCACGCAATTTGGAGCTTGAATGAGGCGTACGCCTCACCCTGTGTGAGGTGTACGCCTCACCCTGTGTGAGGCGCGCCTCAATGGTGCAATTGCGCAATAATTGGTGACGCCTCACCCGTTGGCCCCACCCTACTTAAAATGACTCTTTTTTTTTCCCTACACTCGTTCGGCCCAGGCTTTTCCCGATAAAGCTCCACCCGCAAGCTCCTGTTCGCGAAACAAAGCCCCTCCCGCATGGTCGGCCACCCTTCCCGCCGCCTCTCCCGCCGGCGCCGCCTCTCTCCGGCGAACTTGAAGTGTCCGGCTGCCTTGTAGGAGAAGTCCACAAACGATTTTAGGTTTTTTTTTTAGTTTTTGGTTAGATTTTTGAAGTGAAAGAAATTCTAAGGTTTTAGATTTTTTGAATTATTTTGTGTGATTTTCGATTCTTTCATTAGGGATCATGGTTATTTTGTGTGATTTTCGATTTTCATATATCATTTAGATGTTTTTATTGTAAGGTACAATATTGCTATTATTTTCCTGCTAAAACCCTTATTTTTTCATTTACGCAATTCTGTGTCCGTGAGGTTTACGCCTCAGACCGCCTCGAGGCTTACGCCTCGCCTCACGGACAAAAACCGCCTCGAGGCTTATTTACGCAATTTTAAACCTTGATTGCTGGTAGAATTTCTAAGATGGCATGCTTTATGCATTTCTATAAAATTGCTCCTACTTCACATATTTGCTAGAATATTTTTCAAGGAAATTATTAGATTCCATGGATTATCTAGTTTTATAGTTTCTAATTGTGATGCACATTTTGTTGGTCATCCTTGGAGAACTAATAAAATATGTTTGGTATTATTATAATTTTTTATATTTCCTTCTATCCACATAATAAAGTTCAAACATAAGTGGTCAATAAAGTCTACAAATTTTGCATTGATGATTGCTTGGTGACTATTGGATTTTATGGATTTAAATCTTCATAGTTCATACTACAGAGTAGACCATTTAAAGTTCGGTGCTACGCACTGGTAAGAAATCTTTTTTTGAGATTGTTTATGGTATACATCCTAGAAAACCTATAGATCTTATGACATTATGCAGACAAATATTATATTCTCAATCTATTATATATTTAGCTGAGCATAAATACTTTTATTTTGACATAAAGATACAAATTTCTAAACAACATAAGAAAAATTAAATGATATTTGATATTTAAAAAAGAAAGTGAGAATTTAATATAGACGATTTTTTCATGTTTGAATTCCATCATAACACTTTCCCCACATACATTTAAAAAGTTCAAGCATGTTCTTCGAAGCAATATAAAATTCCTAGGAAATTAGGTTAAAATGCCTATTTGATTAATTTACCTCAAAAGTTTTCTCCTCTATTTAAAATTAAAGGTCTAATATATCATTAAGGCATTTTCGAGACTTTTGTACCTAATGGAAGCCTTTCTGTAAGCAGAGCTTATACTTTGATAATAATGATTATTCATGTGCTTCCACCTATCATTATTGCACCAACTATCAAAGTGGAACAAATTTTAATAGATGAAATTACTACAGGTCCTCCAGAGATGCACAAGTACTTAATTCACTAAATGAATCAAACATTCTATTGAAAATTCCTAGATCACATAAAATGAGCTAATGAAAATAGCACCAAATCTTCTTTACCAAATCCCATTTCTGATTCTCTAAAGGCAAGTTCTTATGGCCATGGGGGAGTTGATGCAACAAATGAGCCCAAATTAAAGATTAGAGCTTGGTATTAGTTAAGATGGAACCAAATTGGTTCATAATGTTTTGTCTTGTTTAGTCGTTTAGGTAATAGCGATGCAAAGACTTTAGATTTAATTATTTATATAATAGATTAGATACTAAGAAGGGAGAAATATATATGTATAAGTTTAAGTTATCAGTCAAACAAAGAGATAAGAGTAGTAAAGATTTAGTTCAAGTGAAGCGTATTAAGGATGAAGATCACAAAGTACTTTTATTAGAAGAGGATATTCGACAAAAGTGGATGAGATATTTTTATAAACTCTTCAATGAATACTATGAGAATGCGATTGACTTTAGTAACCATAATGAAAACAAAAATTTTTGTTTTTGTCGACATATTAGTAAAAACGAAGTTAGAGAGGCTTTAATGAAGTAAGGAAAAGCTACTTGACCTTATGATATTTCAACAGAGGTGTGGAAATGCTTAGGAGATGAAGAAATTTCTTGGCTTACTAAACTTTTTAATATTATTTTGAAGACTAAAAAGATATCAAATGAGTGGAGAATGAGTGTGTTGATTCCTATTTTTAAGAATAAAGGTTATGCACAAGATTGTGTGAATTATAGAGGAATTATATTAACGTATCATACTTTAAAACTATGAGAGAAAGTTATGGAGCATAGGTTGCAACATGATACTAATGTTTCTCAATATCAATTTGGATTCATGTTGGGAAGGTCTACTATGGAAGCTAGACATTTATTGAGAGGTTTGATGGAGAAGTATAGAGAGAATAAGGAAGATCAACATATGATATTTATTGATTTAGAAAAAAACATATGATAAAGTTTCAAGAGAAGTGATATGAAGAGTTCTAGAAAATAAAGGGGTTAATAATGCTTATGTTCAAGTCATTAAGAATATGCATGTAGGAGTTGTTACTTGTGTTCATACACAAGGCGGTTTGACCAAGTATTTTCCTATGTTAGTTAGATTAAGGATCAGCCTTAAGCCCATATCTTTTTGCTTTAGTCATGGATGTTCTCACTAGACATTTACAAGAGGTTGTACCCTAGTGTATGCTTTTTGCTGATGATATTCTTCTTGTTGATAAGGCTAGAGAGGAAGTTGAAGATAAACTTGAATTATGACGGTCAACCTTAGAGTCTAAAGGCTTTCATTTGAATAGATCTAAAATTGAATATATGGAGTATAATTTTGGTAATAAAAGTTTTAGTATGGGGATTGTGACTTTGGGTGATCAAGTCATTAATAAGAGTACACGTTTTAGATATCTTGGGTCTATTGTTCAGAGTGATGGTGAAATAGATGGGGATATTATTAGTAGAATTCAAGTTGGATGGTTGAAGTTGAGGAATGCATCGGGCTTGTTGTGTGATAGAAAAGTCTCCCTCAAACTTAAAAAAAATTTCTATAAGATGGCGGTGAACCCTGTAATGTTTTATGGTGTAGAATGTTGGCCATTAAAAGAGAAGCATAATATTAAGTTAAGTGTTGTAGAGATGAGGATGCTCAGGTGGATGAGTGGCTTTACTCTTAGATATTGGATACGACATGAGCATATACGTGAAAAGGTTGGAGTAGATCTAGTGGAAGATTAGATAGAGTTGTCTTAGATGGTTTGGTCATATAAAACGGTGGCATTCTGATAACCCGGTTAGGAGATTAGATGTATTAGATTTGACTTATGTTAAGAAAGATAGAGATAGACTTAAAAGACTTGGTTAGAAAATATTAGAAATAACATTTCTTTATTAGATTTAAATGAGAATTTGACTATTAATAGGAAAAAATGGAGAAAAAATATTCATGTAGCCAACCCCACGTAGTGGGTAAAGGCTTTGTATTGTTGTTGTTGTTGTTTTTGTATGAACTGTCCTATTGCTAAACATAGGTATAAGTTAGACTTAGTTGGTAGGATTTGAGTCAATCCAGATAGGATTAGTCCCCTCTCTCTCTCTCTCTCTCAAACTGTTTTTCTCTCTTAATCTCTGTTCAGCATCATTGTGCCCGCATGTATAAGTGAACACATGCATATAAATAAAACATGCGATAACTTAATAAGAATTTTAAGAACGTTAGTTTTAAGCATAAACGAAACTCGATATTTCAATAAGGTAATCCTTCTACTTTCTCTGCTGTTAATACTGTTCCAATCCAAACATGCAAGCCAGATAATGAAGTCCGCTTATGAGCTGGTAATGACACAAGGGCAAAGATTAAGGAACTTCAATCTCTATATCTGCCCTACTAATTGATGTTCATTTTCTTATTTTCGTATTGAGATGCTTTTTGTATCATGAGAAAATACAAAATTCTTTGCATGTATGGATATTAGATGTTTCTTTTTGACATTCTAATCAATCACAGAAATCAGTCAAATACCTAAAGATTGTACGAGGACAATTCTACAGTTCAAAACACTTGATACCAAATTGGGCCTCCAACACTTGGTAAAATAACAATAATAATACTTACATCAGAACATTCTTGTTACGAAGCCTTTCAGAGTGCTTATCTATCCACGAAGCTAAATCACTGTACTGCCTTATTTCTGGATCGAGGGTATTAATATTCAGTATTTTGAACTTCCCAATTCTAGTCTCATACACATTCCTTGCATCAAGCAATACAAGGTCCTCATTCTGCATTCTTGCCTCACATTGCAAAGCATTTCCTGCTAATAACAACAACTATAAGAGAGTAATATTTATGGTTAAAGTAAACGAAAGAAAACTGTTTTAGCTAATTGCCAATCAACCATCATTAGCACACTCAGCAGCTTGATGAAGAACATAATGGAACTCAGATGCAGAGAGGTGCCTTCCAGCATTTGAGATCACTGGCGATTTCAACAATGGATCAGACATAAAAGTTACCAGCTCCTGATGATGTTGAAAATAGCAAAGAAATAAACCAATCAATCCGATTTAAATTTTACCAGCTCTGGCACTATAAAAAATAGCAAAGGCTAAACATAAAATTAACTTCATTCCAAGCAAGTAAATTATTTTATCTTTTAACAATCAGTTTTAATGAAAGAAATGAGAGTTAAATAAGAATTCCAAGTATATGCATTAACTTCACTGATGGCTTAATTTTGCTCACAAATTCAAGATTAAAAAATTCATGAACTAGAAGCAATATTAGCCAAAGAGAGAACCTTGACAACTCGAACAGAGAGAGAGGTAAACCCACATTCCCTTGCAATCTTTTCATTTGATGGATGACCACAAGGTGCTAGCTTGAAGTCAGTGCCATCAAACAAGCTGTTTGAATTCATGACTGTTATGTGCTCTTCCAAAGCAGATAACTTCCCACCAATCTAATCAAAGGATCAATGGAAGCAAAAGAAACTACAAATTACAAATTCTAAACTTTTTACAAAATAAATTAATATCTCATAGATCAAATGCTTAAGAAAATCAGAGCTCACAGTGGCATTGACACCTTCATGACCAACCCGGATGCGGCCAAAGAGGTTAAGTGATCTGCAATGGGTGTCATAGAATCTGGCTAGGGAAGTAGCGTCAGGTATGGAAATGTAGTTATAATACAACAACACACCATAAGATTCAGTATCTCTCCCATCTCCATTTTCTTCCATCAAAATCAACTGGCAATATCACAAAACTTCACCCTATGCGTGAATGCAAGATGATGGATGGTCGCTGCTAGGTGAAATGGATCAATAGCATAGAGGTCAATAAATCTCACAAATTTCAACAAACTCTGAAATGAAATTAACTGGCACGCTTAGTCAGATACCATATGAGATTATTCATTCATTAAAAAGAAAAAAACCACAAAGCTAATGAGAACAGAAAGTAATAAACAACGAAATATTTACTATGATATAAATAAAGCAGTAAAACCAAAAAGTTGCTTTAGCATTGATATACGCAATTAATATTAATGCAAATTAGAGTTTAAAAATAGCCACTGCAACATAAAACAGAAAAGTCCAATGACTAACAAAAGATCCAATGAGATAAAGCCAAGCCCACAAATCTTGCACTATCACAGAAATGCCGGTCTTGCAGCTATTGACTCTCATATAGAACAGAACAAAAGATATAAACAATTCCAAGCCTTCGGCCACCAACCAGAATCCAGAAACAGCGTCAGTAGTTATGAAATATTCACAAAAAAGTTACACAAAACTAAACTAAATCATCAATGAGAAATCCTTAACGACTTAACAATCAGTTAGGATCAACAATAGGTCCATCACCCAATTGAGTACACAAACCAAGCGTAAGAACATTTTAACTTACATAAACCATCCACTAATTACAATGCTGGCAAAAAGCAGCTGCTAAAACGGTGACTAAAGCACTAAAAACATGCTAAAATGTCCAAAGCGCTAATATAACGGTGATTCGGAAAATCAAACAAACACAAAACTCGAAATAAAGAGTAGGAAAAGCACCTTCGGTCCAGCAAGAGAGTTGGTCGTAATCGTAAACGGTTGGCTGGAGGGATGGAAATTTTTTTTTTTTTTTTTAAAAAAAAGAGTTTCTGAATCGCAAGCTTCGCCTGCAAAGCTTAGGGCTTCAACGAAAAAAATAGTGAAAGTGACAATCACTGAAAGGAAGATGAAGAAGAGGATGCCCTCGAATAAGGATAATAGGCCGCGCAAAAATACGCACGCTAATACGATCGACGGAATGGTCGGCAGCGGCCGTGGCCTTGAGAAGGAAAGCTGCGGGCGGCCTGACTGCACAAGTTGTTTCAGCATACGCACACAACTCACAAGATCTTGGAATAAAAAAAAAGTCCATACCATTTGAAACTAATCTCGTTCAATGAACTTCAATAAATAAATAATGAAGATATTCTTATAATCATCCATACGATGGGCATATTAAGCTAAATTTTAATTTTTATATTTACTCATATAATATTACATATTTAAGTCATATAAAAAATATTACTAATATTAATTTATTTATAATAAATTTCATATTTTCATATATATTTTTTAATATGATTTAGAAATTGAAGTATAATTTCATACATATTTGTATTATGCTAAATATTATTCATATATGTTGAAAATGGTTATGTTTCTATATTTATGAGATGGGATTGATATATTTATTTTCATGATCATTTAATGAAATTGATATGTTATGTTAATGCGTTGAGCGATGTGTTGAGGAGGGACAAAGTAGGATGTGTAAGTGATAATCGTATTTATTTATGTGCAATACAAGTATAGTAATAATGGGCCAAGGGAAAATATGATCAAGTAGATGTATAAATGAAAGTGAAAGAATAAGGAGATATCACGAATATGTGTTTATATTAATATGATGATGTTATGTTTTGTTCTGTTTTTCATTTCTTATATCATATTCAAGTGAATACTCATGTTATCTCTGCTGACATATTATTATTGTGATTTGACATATGACACTATTTATACTGATATAATTCTGTTAATAATAATACCTAAACCCAAACGATCATGTTATCTTATTTAAAATCATATTTTCATGTTTAAATAAAGTTCAAGATTATGCTGATTATTTTAATGTAAATATTTTTTAATTGGCTTTAAATAGCCTATTGAGTGGATGTTGCTCACCCTACATTAATGGAATGTTATTCAAAGAAAGGGTAAGGCTTTTATCGAATAGAGACTAGATAAGTGTTAAAGATATGGTTTATAGGCATGTCATGTATTTGGATAGAAATCTTTTGGCAATCATGATATGATATGTATTTTGATGAAAATAATGATATTGTCATGAATATTGCATATTGTTCTTTGATTACAAGTGAAATGATGATTATGGTGTTTTGTTACAATTAATTGAAGAGTTAGAATGGCTCTATGTTGTGAAAAATGAGAAAGACTAAACAAGAATTGAATTCTTCTAACTAGATCTTGGGTAAAGTTTTATGTACATCTATTATGATGTAGCTCGTTAGATATGAGGGTTGCATTATCTTCTATTGTGATAGTATCAATGATAGTATTAGAGCAATGGTTTGGAAGAATTAAATTGTAATCATAACCATAAGAAATATCAAGTGAAAGTGTTGAGTATATTAATACATGCGTATTAAGTTAAGTCTTGCATAAATCTAATAAGTGAAAGTGTAGAAAAGTTAAGAATCCCCAAGTTTAAGAAGCAGTAAATGGGTAGAGTTCTAATTAGGTTATGTATGTATAGAGTACAGTAAGAGTTATGACATATGATTTTATGCTACAGTTTGTTATTCAGGTAGCCCAGTTTATGGGTAAATCTTAGAGTATAATGTTTTTATTGAGAGTGAAACCTCTTAAGTAGAAAGCGAAAAAAAAGCTAAACTCTTAACTATCAATATAATGTCAACTTTGGCCTAAAAGCTTATGATTTTTTTCATGTTAGTGTAAAAAACCTTATTCAAGAGAGCTCAACATGGCCACTACATCACAAGTGCATATAGTCGATGTCACCCCAATCACCTTTGATGAGCCATATGGGCCAAGGAGTGGAAACACTTTAATAACAACATGGTTGTTGTAATAATAGTCACCAACTACTATATGTGCAATAGATTCATTAATATTATAGTTCTATTAAAATTATTTAACATGTTCTTGATAAAAATGAATCTAATTGCTTCCCAATTAACCCCAACCCTAAATCTTCTATATAATTTCTCTAACTAGTGGTGAGAAATTGAAGGCATGATCACCTTATTAGTTATCTAGGGTGATGATGAATCAAATACACTAAAATAGCTAATTTCGTCCTCCTTGATGCGTTGATCACCTATATACTGCAATCATTAGGTGGACATTATTGAACACCTTCAAGGTGATCATTTTAATGTACCACATAATGGCCATGTTTTTGGCAGGAAGCTTAAAAAATCATAGTAAGAAGTGACCTCACCCAATCGCAAGCCTACTACTTGAAGGCCATACAAAAGGTGTAACTTCTCCTAAAGAAGCACTATAGCTAGAAATAGAAAGATAATCAAAGTTGTAGACCACAAAATCATTGAAGAAGTCTATGGGACATGAGGAAACATAGAGAAAAGCTTAAGAAAAAGCTCATGCTTCAACCCAACACATTGATCATCCAAGCACTTAGAAATAAACTTGATGTATTTTCTTGGATGACACTAAAATGATTGTGATTGACATTGAGTTTCTATATATGGTTGAATGTTAGGTTTTAACTACACATAAGACGATTGTATGTATTAAATGATGAATGAGAGATATTGAAAATATCAATATTTTCATTAAAGAATAAGAGTCTATATTGATACTTAATATGATATTTACATCATCAACACAAAATAAGAGATCTAGCCAAACATGAAAGAAATTAGAAGCAAACTCATATTCATTTTATTCATAGAAGAACAAAGCATAAGAGATATAGTAGAATTTTATCATCAGGAAGAATGAAAGTTCTTCTCTACGCTCCTACCACTTACAAGGTTTCTTATACAAATATAGGTTAAACTCTCCCTGAGATTATATCTTGCACTTCCCTTACCTCCCTTAAACTTGACAAATATAATCAAAGGATGACATTTTTTTAGGAGTTTTTTTTAACCAAATTTTATTCCAAACAAGAAAAGGGAAATACAATAAAGAACAAAAAATAGTCTAAGCCAAAATATATCCAAAAATAACAAAAGTAAGCAAACTCAACAAAACAAATAATCAAAGATGCATGAAAAGGAGCCATCATCGGACTCAAGAAAATGGCAGCTCCCTGCCATCACCACGCAGCCAGGCACGGACCATTTATTGGTGACAACCACTCATAAACACATCATCAGCCTACAACCCACACAGGTAACCACCTAGCAGAAGGGCTTGAAGGTTGCCAACAAGCCTGGGCAACCAAGGTGATAAGAAGGGAGCCGCCTCATCATCGTCCAAATCATCAATAAAGCCCACGACATCGAAAGCAAGAGGGTAACCTAAAGACTATTTCTTTTTAGATTTACGTTTACATCTTTTGCCACCACCATTGACTACTGCTTGATCAACAACACACCACATCATGAAACTATACATATCATCATTTACATGGTCATCAAAATCATCACCCCCCCCCATGGAAGGTGTAGATAGGGACTCATCTATATCCAGCCAATCAGATTGAAGCAAAATAGAGTTATTCGAAGGCCGGGATAGATGGGATTTCAAATATGCATTAGACATAATCGAAATTGGAATATCAACATACTCCATATTCCCCTTTGAGACATTCACAAAAGGAGACACGTTCGACTCAACATTAATAGGTAAAACTAAAACCTAATTAATAGCCGAACTTTCAACATCGCATGCCACATGCTCCAAAGGAATAGAGCCATCATAAACAACCAACGCCTGGGTTGGAGAACCTGGGAGATCCTCACCAGAGGTAAAACCAACCCTGGAAGCCACCTCACCCGAAAAATCACCCAAATCTTCCACAGCATTATCACAGGAATGGCTAGCTATAAGATTAAGACAACAATTATTAACACTCAAATTTTCATTCACTCCATCACAACAAGCAATATCAGGCAGATCCAAAAGAGCAACAAGAGAAGCAGGCTCCTTCGCCACAAGAACAAAATCACCAAAAGCTAAATCAGAATCCAATGTCATAGCATTAACCTCCAAACAATCAGCAACACTCCCAACTACAACATCAATGGGACTCAAAACCATAGAATTAACATTAGCAACATTAGCATTCTCCACCCTACATATATTAGGGGTAGTAGAAACAAAAGCCCCCTCCCGAACACACACATCGAAAAACACACACTCTGGAGCCAGGTCCACAACGATAGGGGCGAAAGCAACAGTGGTAGGGGGAAAGAAATTCGCAGGAAGAGAGGGATCATTTAGAGCCAAAGAAGTAGTGCCCACAACAGGAGAAGGTCCAAAACCCATAGGAGGCTGAACATAAGCATTAACCTTCCTCAAATGAGGAAACAACTTAACACATTCAGACCTCTTATGACCCACAACTTTGCAATGAGGACAGTAACTAGGAAAACCTTCTAAAACAACTTTTTGAATGACCTTCTAAAACAACTTTTTGAATGTAGCCTAATTTCTCAGGACCAAGCCAAATTGAGCCAGGATAAGTTTTAGAAATGTCCATTTCCACAAGGATACGAGCTACGAATGGCCACAAACCCACAACAGTGGCATTGTCTGTATGAAGCGGACGGCCAAATAATGACCCCAGACCAAAAAGAATACGAGGAGAAAATAGGTGTGGGCGAAGCTCCAGAAAGGAAATTCAGTCAGGGACGATCAGAGACTCCTCCGATAGGTCAAGGAATGGTGTCCATTTTATCACTTTCATAAAACAACCAAAAATGAAATATGATCTATGCGAAAAAATCCTATTGTAGTCGAGATCATTAGAAATCTTGATTAAGACATTACTCTGATCCAAAAGAGTAACAGATAACTCACCCGATAATTTGAGGTTGAAAAAGAAAACCTCCTAATTGAGTCTAATACCAGCCGCCGCAACGAAAATTTTCTCACTAAAGCTAAATCAAAAACTTCATCCTCTGAGATCCATAAAGCCGGCAAACCCCGAATCGTAGTGACTTGTAAATCCAGAAATGCCTTAGACGCATCAGAGCCAGACAAAACCTCCTTGAAAGATTTGGAGCGATTCTTACAATTAAGAAAGCCAAGATCTAAATGTTTAACAGAATTCTCCATAGCACCAAAGCAAGGGCCAAGAAAAAAATCAAACCAACCAAAAACAACCAGGCGAAAAAATGGAAGTAAGGTTTTTT